TCTCTGTCGCCATTTGACACAGTGATTGTCAGTGCTTTCTTGTAATACTCCTCAGCCTTGTGATATTCACACAGTGAATTAAATAATTTTCCTATCATCATGTAACATAGTGCCTCTGTTTGTTTGTCTCCAGTGCTTCTTGTTACTACGGCTGCCTTTTGATAGTATTCTCTAGCCCTTTCAAATTTATTTTGTTTCTGATATATCATTCCCAGTACGAGGCTTACCCTTCCTTCTCTGAGGGTGTCACCAGAGGTATGGTATATGATAAGAAGTTCCTTCGCGTACCTTTCTGCAGACGTGTAATTGGAGACCTTGTATGCCGCGTCGAACATTAGCAAATTTATTTCTTCGTAAAACAAGTGGTATTCTTTTATCCGTGCATTAGAGGTTAGAAAGATCAAAAATTCTTCGCCTAACTTCGTGGCTTGCAAGCCACGACCAGTGTTCAGGAAGAAGGCGACAATAGTTAAAACTATTACCATCCATTCATCTTGGTTGTCCATTATGACGACTTTCGGAAGGTGCGAAAGAAAAGAACGAGACAGTTTTAATTAGGGTGTTTTACAGCCATTCCCACTACGAACAGTCTTCTGGATTTACCGAGAAAGATGATATCGATTGAAAAAAAAAAATTGTTGAAATTTACACTTGGTAGGGAAGTCGAGAGGACTGCTCCTGCCGGGAGCGGCGCTTAAGTTGTATAACCCCTATTGACTTTAATAGTGTTTACATTTCGAGTAACATGCAAAGGGCAAGGGATAATATTTTGTTGATTGAGTCTCGTTAGTTATTCCGAGAGAACGCTCATCAGTTATTGTCTGCCTAGGAAGGAGGGGGTGGGTACGCGTGAATACCAACATCAAACCTGACATCTAGGCAGATAATTTCTCTGGATAGGTACAAAAGATTTTGTGGTAGAAACGTATTATATTGAGCAGAACAGCAAGTTCCTTTTATGACCGTATGACTACTGACCATATTCTAATGAAATTGTATGCTTTAAATACAACGCAGAAAGATAATCAAACCTATCAGAAAACCTTAACCTGCGCTACAAGGCTTCTAAAGGAGGGAAAAAGGGAGGGGGAAGGGAGGGAACAAGAAGGGGAACAAGGAAAAGAACAAGGAGTGAACAAAGGATAAAAAGAATGGGATAAAAGAAATACTCAATGTTCTATATATGGTTTTCTCTGTATGCTCTGCAAGCGATGACTGATCCCCCCTCCCTTTCCCCCTGGAAAACCATGCAGTCCTCAAAATCCTTCGATCCCCCTTCTCCAGGCGATAAATAATGCGTGGTCGCTTAGTTCTGCACAACGTTTTGCTTCTGTCCTAAACCACTGAATAAAATGTATCTCAGTTGATGGTTTGTTCGTTCTTCTGTTTGACATATAATTTTGTAACTGTATGTCGTAGCTTAGAGATCGGTCGGTGAATGAAACAGCTGGTATTGGAAGGATCCACGAGATGATTTTCCCGAAAGTATGCATGATATGGCCACGGGAGGTGAGTCCTCGTTCGTTTAAGTAATTTCATTAGGTAAATAAACATGATTCGTCTGGTCAAGTCGTAATCGTTGTTCAGTGTTCTTGGAAAAGACAGCCTTGAGGTATTTTTCAGTTTCGTCCGATAAATTGTGGGGCGTGTTACAAAATGCGTGGTTCGCAAGAGTCTTAAAAATAGTTGCTCTATCAGGTCACACGGGTTAGAAGCCGCACAAACACTTTCTAAATTTGTCCCATTTCATAATATCTGCGTGATAAGATAAGCAGAAGTTTATGGATGGGCTGAAATTAAAAGCCGAGATCTGCACTAAATACAGACAGTTAGAAAACTTTGAAATTTAAAGAGGTACCCTCAGTGCCACCCTAAAGATATGACAAATAATTCTTATAAATACCTGAGGAGGAAACTTCTTTCAGTGGTCCCACAACATCCGAGAAAGACTCTTTGCATGCCAAGTAGTCTTCTTCTTTGATGACAACATTCAATCTTAAAGCTTTCAGATCAAGTTTCTTTATAAGTTCATTCGTCACGAGGCATCTCTCAGCCATTCTGTCGAGGTTACCATGGCAGCAGTCTCTCCACAGTCTTTCAAGGCTCTCCATGTTGCGGCATTGCACCCGTATTTCTAAGCAGCCACAACCCAATGCCCTTGTGAGCAGGTTGTAGCTATCTTCTATATACTTGAGGAATTCACCCATTCCTTCCATTGAAGAAAGTTTGTTGTTTTTCATGAAAATCGAAATGTACGTCGTAAAGTGCTGGTTGAGTATCTCATGTTTTTCAGCATCAAGATCTTTGGGTAGGACTTTGAGCTTAATCTCATGCAGCGCCGTAACTGTGCCCATAATTAAAAAAGTAATAATACTTATAAGTGATCACACAACCTCATCTCTTGCCTACATTATTTCTAACACTGTTGTAACCTGACAAAAGAATATTGATAAAGGCACAATCAAGAGAATAGGTTTCTAGCACAGTACCTTCCGTAAAGCAGAGTGGCAATGTCCGTTAAAATCGAAGACGTTACATAACTTACGTGGCCAGCGCACAAAGCAACGGAGGGGAATAGGACTTTTTTTAAAGGGGGGGAGGGGGAGGGGAATGAGATGCAACAGTGTAATACGGAACGCAACGGTGTTCACGTTAACTAGAAATGTTTTTAACTCTTGATAGGTCAATATTTACTACGTATTGAAATAATATGAGACGCATTGTAAATTTCATCATTTCATTGCCTAGTAAATAAACAAAACATATTAAGATTATTTTCTCTTCTAATTTTCTTAGGGAAGCCCTGAAGTGGAGCAAGAAAAAAGTCTGAAAGATTCAAATCAGGGGAGCTAACTGAAACATGAAAGAGATAAAACATACTTGTGAGAAGATCAAATATACTTGTGAGAAGTCTTACCCTGGTCAGCAACTTCTTTCGATGGTGTCAAAGCTTGTAACATTTTCTCCTGCCCATGTACGATTTTCTCCTGCCCACGTACGATTTTCTCCTGCATTTTCTTCATCGCGCCCAGCTCTTCTTTAACATTATCTTCATCCTTTTTCCACTCACTAAGGAGTCCCATGTAGTGATCTTCAACATCAGGGTCCATGGTCTCGTTTCTCAGTGTATCAATAGCAGCTTGATAACTAGCGCCTCCCAGTCTGATCAGAGTGTCCCGGATGTCACGCCAGTAGTCATTGAACTTGATGTCATCAACAGAAGCTTTCTCAGCGTGACCGTACACAGTGTTCCTAAAAAACTTCACTCGGGCAATGTCCGCTTCCTTACTGAGGTCTGTTACGGCGGGTAATGCGTCCCAGCCGGTGGGCGGAGTAGTTAAACCGCACAAGTTTCGTAGCAAAACCATCAGGAGGGTCGTGTCAAAGTTACTTGAAGACACTGAATTTGGAATGGCAGGGAAAAGTTTTCCCCATTGTGTTGCATTGATAATCCTCTTTGCTTTAAGAGACTGTAAAGTGGCTGTGTTTGCCGCCAAAACTGTGTGCAGATTTGCTGGAGCGTGGATGGCATTTAACGTGTCTCGAAGAGCCTGGGTTCCAATATCAACTAACAGACGACACAACCTGGCATAGTTCGTTGTCTCCTTTGTGGATGAGGTAACTGGTGCAGCACTGGCCATGAGTAAGATCTGCAATATTTAAAAAAAAAAAATTTTTTTTTCTATTTCTCTTTGCCTCTCTGTGATCCCCCAAGCAACTTCTGCGTGAACGGAGACGTTTTTAACCTGGTGACAATAAGGACCAGCCAGGTCGGAGTGTATAGAGGGTAAACTCCTGTTAGTACCGAAATTTGAAAGGTAAACCATACTTCAACCACACTTAGTTAGGAATCAAACGTTACACTGACTGACGTGAATAGCTTCCCGAGTTGTTCCGGCCTTTTTTTGTGTAAATAATAATATTGGTAAAAAAAAATAATAAAAAACAAATAATTTTCGCCTCCGTTCGCCTAAAAAGGCAAAACAAAATCACGCCAGGTTTGTAGGCCACTGTAGCTGATCGCAAACTTGTAGCGTTCATAAGACGCCTTCTCTGCAAAGTAGTAGAGTAAGTCAGCGCGAGGTTTCTTAGGAGTCTGGCACTGATAATGAGTTGATATTGAAAGGGCGTATTTGTTTATTCCTACTATTCACACATTGGAAAAAAATACACAAGAACAGCCAAAGCCGGAGAAGAATTTACAAGAGTAAATTTAACTAAAATAATTACAATACAATTAAACCAGGAAAGAAAAGGTCAGTCAGAAAAAAACTTACAATTGAGATACAATACTTGGCAGCTAGTTTAAATATTTAAACGATTAATAATGAAATCCTACAAACCACACAAACAAATACAAACAAATACACCTTACATAGTCCCATAAGGTATGCAGATTATGCGTAGGCTAATTAATTACTCAGAGATAAATACAGTCTTAAGTTTTTTTTATAGTTGCTTACTGTGAGATTATTGCGCACAGATAACGGAATATCATTCCAAATAATAGGAGCTTGCCAAGTGATAGCAAATTGATACTTATGACAGGTTTTATGCTGATTAAAACGTGAACGAGTCAAATAATTGTGATATTCAGAATTATCAAAGGCTCTGTGAGCCAAGTCGTGAATTGGATAAGCCAATGTAATTTGTGTCGTCAATAGAAATGGGTGTTTGATTTCCATACTAGGGTATGAATCGTTAGACTGGTAAATGAACATTTTGAGGAATATGACGTGAAATTAAATTAGGTCTCAAAGACAGAAAATATGGCCTGATTAGGATTTAGTGTAAGACAATCACTGTTCCAGATTTTACTGTAAAGGTTTGTGGAAAGAAAGTTCAAAAGGGTGCTGTTTCTGTTTATCATAAATATTGTTCCAATATTGAGCTCAGTGTTTACTTGCGATGCAAGCATAGGGATAGGAATGTAAAAGCTTATGCGCTGGATGGAACGCTCGGACATAAGGATAAGCACATATGCATAAGATTATCAAAACGTTGCCTTCTTTTTATGCTTATACTGTCTAGTTAAGACTTGGTTGGCATAAGCGGAAGGATAAACATAAGCGAAAAACTTTCAGGCAATCAGCAAGCACTCTACTGCTTATACCAACCATGTCCCTATTTAACATAACATCGACTGAGCGCTTGTGCTCATGTTTATGTTGCAGCTGTGCCCACCTGCGCATTAGCTTGTTAAGTTTATGCTTATGCTGTGTTGCAACTGAGTACCGCGCTTCAAGCCTGTTTCGCACCTCTGAGATAATTATTAGCACGAGGATGAAAACAAGTACAAGGATGTTCACACTAATAACATACGCATACACAGTGCGAGTTACACCATTGAAGAAACAGCATATCGATTGATTGAACTTATGCTTGAGCTTATTTCACTGCAGTTCCCACTTGTGAACCACTTTCCAACGTCGATACAGCTCCATGAATACCAAGGAAGCCTTAAACGAGTCAGTTTACGAGCAGTTGGCCGTGAGCGACACTTCAATATCGGACTATCGGCGAGCAGCGACTCGAGCCGTTTGAGCCCGCGGTTGAAATAACCAAAAGATCAGCCCTTTTACATAAAATTTCAACCTAATCTAATGTGGCACCTGAGTGACCTTCCGGTAAAAAGCAAAGCTGTGGATTTCGCTGTCAGAGAAGCGACGTAGGTGGTTCAAATCCGCTGCACTCGAGTAAATATTGCGTTTTGATTAACTTCCTTTCTTTGTTTTCTTTTTTTTCTTTTTCGGACACAATAATCATTTTTCTGGATATATATATTCAAAAATAGAAGACTTGACGCCATAAATGAAACATACGCTGCAAGAGATAAAAGTGTATTCGGAGATTGGGCAAACTTTAATTCACAAATGAAAAACGTATACTTTTTTACTCTTTCAAGATTATCATTGGCTTCTTTTTCACCCCACAACTATTCTTAGCAACAAAGGTCGCCATTTCGTTTGTTTATCACTCGCCAAAAACTATCAAATGCATTCAAAAGCCTAAAATAGAATCAAGTTTACAGGAATCGACCAACCGAGCGAGTGAGCGAGCGCGCGCCATTCATCACATCATACCTACAACTCGCTCTTGCGCCTGCGCGCAATTCACGAGTTAAAAATGAAGCATCCAAGAAACAGGAGTAGGTAAAAGCTTATCAAAATGTGAGAATACAAAACAGGCAACATGGAATTTACAAATAGAATAAAGTGAAAGAATATTATGGTTAGAAAAAAGGGGTTTAGAGGATGTGCGCGGAGGAGAAAAAGTAATTATACAAACGGCTTTCTTTTGAAGTACATAAAGGAGTTTAAGGTAAGAAGCATCAGTGGATGTCCATATTAAACTGCCATAATTTAGGTAAGGTAGGAAAAGAGAATTATATAAAGTTTTCAAAGTAAAGTAAGTATCGCCTTGACTTGCACCAGACTTCTATTACTTTAGAGACTTTATTACAGACAGCAGAGATATCCGGTTTCCAAGATAAATTTTCATGAATGATAATCCCGAGAAATTTGTCTTCCAGTACACTCATGATGAGAGAATTATTTATAAATATTTTTATATCTGAGGAGTCAGTTTGTTTACGTCGAGGGTGAAAAATGATGAATATAGACTTGGCAAGATGAACAGTGAGTTTGTTAGCATTAAAGCAAGAAGAAACACGAGAGAGGTCTACATTGAGAATGGTTGCTAAGGTAGCCAGGTCATTATGACAAAGAAAGATATTTGTATCATCAGCAAAGAGAATGACAGACAAGAGGTTGTAGACATGAAAAAGATCATTAATGTATAAAAGAAAAGTAGAGGTCCAAGAGGGACCCGAGGGAACCCCACAAACGACCGGATTATATGAAGAGGTATGATCATGGACCACAATGCACTGCTGTCTGTGGGACAAATGGCTAGTCAGCCAGGTTGATGGGATACCTCTAATGCCTTAAAAGTTAGATTATCCAGAAGTGTATCGTGATTGACTGTATCAAATACTTTCTTTGGATCAGTGAAGACTCCAACAGTGTACTGGTTGTTTTCAAAACCTTCATAAATATTATTGACAAGTTCTAAGATGGCCATAGCAGTAGAGTGATGTGGTCTGAATCCATACTGGTGATGATTTAGAATATTAAACTTTGGGAGAAATCCTGATAACCTGAGGTAATTAGAGAACAAAGAAGGGTCATCATCTTTAAAAACTGGGATAATCTTTGCAATTTTGAGTTTATCAGGAAAGACACCATGTTCAAATGATAGATTGCATATATGGTATAAAGGAGCAGCAAGTAAATCAATTGTTTCTTTGATGGGAGACATACAAAGACCATCCACACCCTCACACTTGCTATTTTTTAGACAATGAACAATAGAGGCCACTTCGTCAGGAGAAGTGGGATTTAGAAAGAAACAGTCAGCAAAGTGACCAACAAGGAAATCTTTAGTTAGAAGAGAACTGAATAGATGGAACTTTACTGGCCAGAGAGGGTCCTATGTTAGCGAAGAAATTATTAAAGTTACTAGCAGTACGTGAAGGGTCTGAGCATACACCGGTACCGTCTTTCATATTACAAAAATGTTGTTCAGATTTCTTTTTAGATATAATCTGCTTAATAACTGACCAAGTCTTCCTCAGGTCTGAGCTAACCGAGACTAGTTTGTGATGAAAATATTTTTTCCTAGCAACTCTAATGAGAAAATTATACTTATTTTGATACTTGTTATATCTAGTTTTGTTTGATTCAGTAGGGTTTGTTTGGAATTGTTTATAAAGAGAATTCTTCCTTTTACAGGATAAAAAAAGACCTTTTGAAAACCAGGGTTTAGAATAACGCCCGGATTCAGGGAATACAGGTTTAAGTGGAAATGACATATGATACGCTGAAATAAGAAGACTAGAGAATGTGTCATAGGATTCATTGGGAGAGACAGAGTTACAGATTAACAGACCAATCAATGGTTTCCAATTTAGACCTGAATGCTGCAATTGTTGTAGAGTTAATGAGGAGTATTAATCTCTTTCTGGAAGGTGTTTCAGCATCTAATTTTAGATGAGTAACTTGGAAAATTGGGAGATGATCAGATAAATCAGAGTAGGAAATGCCACTATTCATACAGTGTTCGAGATTATTTGTGAATATAATATCAATCAGAGTTGCATTTGTGGAAGTTATGCGAGTTGGCTTAGAAATCAAAGGCTATAGACTATTAGATACCATAAGATTGATGAACTCATAAGAAGGTTGGTGGGATTGTGAATTAAGGATATTAATATCAAAATCACCCATGAGATAAGATATCTTATTCTCAAAGCTGATAGTAGAAAAAAATGCCCTGGAGAGAGTTGTTAAACTCAGTAACTGAGGCATCAGGGGGCCGATAAAAGCAGCCAACAATGATATTCTTTCTGTGTAGTTGAATAATTTCAACAAGGACTGACTCATACACAGCATTATCAGAGGATTGAAGATCAGTTCTAAGCTTGAATTTTAAGTGAGACTGAATAAAAATACCAACCCCGCCACCGGCTTTATGTTCTCTGTGATTAGAGATAAAATGGTAGCCAGGTAAATGGAATAAATCAGAATTAGACCTATGTAACCAGGTTCAGAAACAGCTGTAATAGAGAAAGGCCTGTTCAATGTAAGAACAAATTCTGATAAGTCATCAAGGTGTTTAGGCAGGGCGAATATTAATATGAAGTGATGAAAATGTATCAGGACAAAGTGGTGACATTTTATTAAATTCTGTGGAGGTTAGATAGAGGCAGTTAGAAAGTTGTAACAGTATCTGATTGTGCGATTACATAATGCGAGAGTTTTTATGTCACGCGTTGTCTACATTACGTGAATCGTCACGTGCAGTATTTTTCCCGCCTTTTGCTTTATGTATTACTGTGATCCTAAAATAAATGGTTGAGTTAAAACAACACAACACTTTACATGGTTGTCAGGAGCGGGATTTGACACTAAAAGGTCGAAAACCCCACTAGAATCGAAGATAAACTCAACACTAGCATCTAAGGACAAGAAATTAGCGACCTAGTTGGTTTCGAAACGCCCAAAATAGACTGGACTCCCGGACCCGACTTGCCACAACGACTGCAAAGCTTTCGACAGAAATGCGAGTTATTATTTGATGGCCCACTTAAAGCCCGTTCCACCAAACAAAGATGTTGATACGTACTTCTTTGGACCCGAGATTACGGTCTCGACCTATTCAACACATGGAATTTAAACCCAGAAGCCGCAACCAAGCTCGATAAATATTGGAAGCGATTCGAGGAACACGTAAAACCACTCAAATCACATCCTTCACCGCTTCTATCTTCGAAACCTGAGACAGAACGGACGACCCTCGATGATTTCTTGACAGAGGCTACGCTAATTATCCAAAACCGTGAGTTTCCTTTCTGATTGCTAGTGCTTTCTCAGTGTATTCTTGAGCCTTTTTGTATTCACCAAGCGACTGAAACAATGTTCCTAAGTTTCCGTAGCCAGCTGCTTCTCCCTTTCTATCGCCAATTTCCTTTCTGATTGCTAGTGCTTTCTCAGTGTATTCTTAAGCCTTATTGTATTCACCAAGCGAGTGAAACAATGTTCCTAAGTTTCCGTAGTCAGCTGCTTCTCCTTTTCTGTCGCCAATTTCCTTTCTTATTGTAAGTGCTTTCTCGGTATATTCTTGAGCCTTTTTCACCAAGCGCCTTAAACAATGTTCCTAAGTTTCCGTAGTCAGCTGCTTCTCCTTTTCTGTCGCCAATTTCCTTTCTGATTCCCAGTGCTTTCTCGGTGTATTCTTGAGCCTTTTTGCATTCACCAAGCGAGTGAAACAATGTTCCTACGTTTCCGTAGGTAGTTGCCGTTCTCAGTCTTTGTCACCAATTTTCTTTCTGATTACAAGCGCTTTCTCGGTGTATTCTTGAGACTTTTTGTATTTACCAAGTGAATGAAACAATGTTCCTAAGTTTCCGTAGTCAGTTGCTTCTCCCTTTCTATCGCCAATTTCCTTTCTGATTGCCAGTGCTTTCTCAGTGTATTCTTGAGCTTTTTTTTGTATTCACCAAGCGACTGAAAAAGTGTTCCTAAGTTTCCGTAGTCAGCTGCTTCTCCCTTTCTATCGCCATATTTTTTCTGATTGCAAGTGCTTTCACGGTGTATTCTTGAGCCTTTTTGTATTCACCTGAAGCGAGTGAAACAATGTTCCTAAGTTTCCGTAGTCAGCTGCTTCTCCCTCTCTGTCGCCAATTTCCTTTCTGATTGCTAGTGCTTTCTCAGTGTATTCTTGAGCCTTTTTGTATTCACCAAGCGACTGAAAAAGTGTTCCTAAGTTTCCGTAGGCAGTTCCTTCTCCGTCTTTTACCACATGAAGATCAAGAAAAAGCGTGCTCCGTGTCTTTACTATCCCAACTCGTCCGCATCGCGGCAGCTTCTTCTCAGAGGCGGGGACGTGTCTGTTAATCCCGGCCCTTCCACCAACGATCGTCTCCTAAAATGCCTTTCATTTAATGCACAAAGCCTAAAAAGT